TAATGCGATGTTGATTTCAAACAACTATATATCTGTGGTATTTTCCTTTCTCTAATGCAATGTTGATTTCAAACAAAAATGTATCTGTGGTATTTTCCTTTCTATAATGCGATGTTGATTTCAAACAATTATCTATTTTCCCTAATGCAAAGTGGATTTCAAATAACTATATATCTGTGGTAGTTTCCTTTCTCTAATGCGATGTTGATTTCAAACAACTATATATCTGTGGTATTTTCCTTTCTATAATGCGATGTTGATTTCAAATAACTATATATCTGTGGTATTTTCCTTTCTCTAATGCGAAGTTGATTTCAAACAACAATATATCTGTGGTATTTTCCTTTCTATAATGCAATGTTGATTTCAAAGAACTATATATCTGTGGTATTTTCTGGCTTGCGGATGCATCTCAGAGTAAGAACCTAGGAGAACCTAGGACATTGGTTGCTGAAGTTGGTTTCTCCTCTGTCTGCAGGTTCATTATGCAAGGAATCAGATGAGAGGCTAATATCTAAACGTTACAACAAATGTTTATAAAATCCAAAAGAAAAAACACAATACACTACAAGCAATGCAAAATAATATACTATAGTACAGAACAAATAGACAAGTGTCTCATGGGTATATGCAGAACTGATAAGCAAATTGAGCAAAAACCGTTATTATTGAAAATGTTCTCACCAGTTTTAGTGTGAAACTTGTGTTAAGTTAAACACAGTACTATGAAATAGCCCCCATAAGTTAAAAGGAAATATTACTATAAAACAAAGTAAAGTTCCCCAAACCCAGGAATCTGAAATGATCCAAGCTAAAATTAAACAAGTTAACAGTACATTTGCTTAAGGCAAAAGTCTACACTAAACTCAGTGATAGCACTAAAAACTCTCTCAGCTTTGAACATAGAAAATTAACAGACGCCTATATTGAGGCTCTGCTGAAAACTTATTTAAAATCTGACACTTCCAGACCAACTAGTAAGCATCTTGTGTTTGCAAAGGCATGGTTACAAACATCCACAATGGAATGCTTCTAGAGAAAGAAAAAGTGAATAACTTACTTAAGTGCCTCACTGCATCAAGAATGAAAACTGAGAACAATGAAAAAGTAAAATAATTTTTAAAAACTTTACACATTAACTAAGGAAGCAGAGAATACACAATTATGGTCCCAGTCTGTACTGCATCACATTAGTTCTGTATGACATATACGAACTAGAGTTGAGTAAATTTTTTGTGATGAGTTAAGTATATCAATTAACTCATCAATATTAAATAAATTCATAAAATGGCATCAAAAGGAACTTGCCCTTTAAAATTCATTAACTACCTTCTTCTTTAAAGGATTCATTAAATCACTGAAACATTTGGCATTGGTATATGGGAAGCCCATTAAATGTTGTAACAGGCAATGACTTATAATTGGCGGCCCGGCATGGCCAGGTGGCTAAGGCGCTTGACTCGCAATCTGAGGGTCGCGGGTTCGAATCCGC